TATATATATATGGTCATATGGTCTCATATATCATGGTCTTTATATATCACATATATATCTCTATATAGATATATGTATAGAGATATATATCATATATAGAGAGAAAGAGAGCGACAAAGAGACAGAGAGAGACAGAGAGAGATCATTTCATTAAGGTTTCTTCGTTCAAACCATCTAGGATAAATGTTGATGCTTTTTCTTGACACTAAATGATTTGCCTTCTCTTACCTAACAACTATTTAATTGGAGTTTAAATACCTCATTCTAAAGATAATTTTGACTTCAATCAATGAACACATATTTAATACCTTAATATGCTCATGATCATAGAAAAGCTATGAGAGGTGGGAGAGTCAGTCATTTGTATCACATTCTTCCCTTGAGAAGTTTATAATCTAATTAGAAGTTCTGTAACCAAGATATTAAACAATTAACATGTAACACAGGACTTTAAATCTTTAATTAGGTACTTCATAGGACTAGCCAGGTGAAATGAGATAAAACTGTTGTAGGAATTGTTCATTCTTCATCTGTGCCACATTTCTATTTTTAAATTTCCTGAATGAGAAATTTTAGAAAATTGATTTGACATAAAATGGGTTATTCTGAACTAGGAATTGTTGGTAAAATTTCAACCAGGAATGGAGTAGTTACACTTGAAATACTCTGAGCCAGGGCAATGTGTCCAAGGGTACCTTCTACATAAATGTCATGAGGACTAAGAGGACATTCTTTTGTGTGAGAAGGAAATTTGATCATCCAACAAGAGTAGGGTGTTTGCTATTGGTCAGTCTAGAAGTATCCACTTGCTTACACCATTTGAATAGGAATCTGATCAACTTCTGCTGACTTAGCATCAGTAGAATTCTGCTAGGCCCAGAGTTATGCAGCAAAATCTGACTTTGCTCACCAGTCTATCTCCTCACTTGGCTTGGAGAGAGGCCCTAGGAGTGGGAAAGTGGGCAAGGAAGATGCCGTACTCCAGGACCTGCTGTGGTTATTGTAATCCAGAAAACAGGTTACTCCTTTAAGAGCTTGGCTCTCAAAAATACAAATTTAATATTTGGACCACAATTTGAAAAAGGAAAGAGTAAAAATGTGCAGAAAGTACTGAGTTCTCTTTCTGGGTATGGATACCAGCAGGGCTGGCTGTCATAGCAGGAAAGACTTTATTCAGGACTTGGGGTCAGAATGCATACGGACAAGAAAGGAGGACTTGAAGAGAACAGCAACAAGATAAAGGAAGGCAAAGAGGTGGTGATGAACTAGGTATTGTACACAGAACAAGGAAAGAACCACTTTAGTTGTTAGTCAAGTACACTGAAAAATACATAGTAATATTGAATGACAAGAGGGCAAATTGCCTTTTGATAATCATTGACAAGAGAGAACTGCACATCAGAATTTCATTCTTTTTTTTGTACCGGGAATCAAACTCAGGACCTTGCACCACTGAGCTAAATCCCAGCTCACACATCAAAATTTCAAAACTTGCTTTTAAGTGTCAAGTTGCCACTCTGCAGAATCATGGTTAGAAACTGCTGTCATATTTAATAGTCCTTGAACTGCACAGGATCTCACACTTGAGGTCTAGGAACTGATTTTGAGGTCCTGTGTGTGTTATGCTGGGTGGAGGAGAGAGGAAGTTTACAAGTACATTCTCAGCTAAACCAAAGGTGGACCAATGAGGCAACGTAGGTTTGTAGCTATGGCAGCAATCATGTCATTCACAGTGGCTTCTTTTCCCAAAATTGGAAGCAACAGAAAAAATTACTTCCTCTCTCTGCATAGGAGCCCGAGTCCTCCCAACAGTGAGGAAATGCTGGAAGCTTATACCAACCATTATAGGCACGGGGGAAAGGGAGGCTTGTAGGGACACAGAAATAATGAAAAGTAAGGATAGGAATTGCTAAGGTCTTAGCAGGCACTATCCTGTTTGTGGTACATTCAGTTCATTTTCTTTCCACCTTTACCCTCTGTTCTTCTAGTTCCGAGTGAGGAAAAGTGGCAGTGAAACTCACCAACCATTAACACAACTCCATAAATGACTTTTAAATGCTTGGTTCAGGAGTGGCAATTACTGAAGCACTTAGCTAATAAATGCCTGGTGAGTTTAATCTCTAGATATCACGGAATTAAATAAAAATGCCTGAAAACTGGAGAGCAAGCTAACAACATCACTTACTGAAGTGACATATAAGTATTTTCTTCACATTAAGGTACTGGCATAGCATTCCTTTCACAACGGAGGCCTTGACTTTTAGTGTTAACAGAGTAAAGGACTTACACTCCAAGTAACTATTTCAGGTAGTAAAATTTCCAAGTCAGCACCAATTTCCCCTATAAACCTGTCCTGCGCACATCACACTGATGTGAGAATCAGATGAGATAATTATTTGATGGTGCTTTGTAAACTGAGGAGCTATATAATGGTGAAGAAATCATTATTACTATCACTCAGTGAACCATAAAAGAATGTGTTAGAAGGTCGATTGTAAGACAATATTCTTAAATTCTAGAAAAATGTACTTATCATTAAGAACTGGAAGCATTGAATAAGATTTTGGGGGTATTTATCGTTGAGTTTGGTATGCTAACAATGGACTGAAGTGCTAATAAGACTGAAATACATAAAACCATATTATTCTATTATTTTTTAAAATGCCTTAAAGTACTGGGCTCCAAATGTATACAGCTATGTTTAAAAGGACTCTCATGGCAACCTTGGTATGTAAAAATAAAACAGAATAATTGTAGAAACAAGTTGCATGTCCATTGCTATAGATCTGTTTAAATAAATGATGTTACATATATATCATGAAATGCTATGTGGCCTGTGAAAGCAATGAACTAGGCTTTACAAATATTAATAGAAAGATAAGCAAGAGATACTAAATTATAAGCAGTGTATGAAACAGTGTTATGTATGATTGGTATATTTATAAGAGCCATCTAAAGGTCAAGGAATTATTAAATAAAAAGTCTCTTTGTATGGTGATATGTGCTAGTAATCAGAAAAACATTTAAAAAATTTATATTAGTACATGTTCGCAGTACCTAATGATTACATTTGTTGTGGGGAATTGGTATGTGTACATAGCACATCTCAAATCTTTTTTTCCTTTTCCCTCTACTCCAATTTTAAAACATTTTTTTCAGCATCAGA